ACCAGAGTGCCATGACTTCTCAAACATGAGGGATAGTGGTTTGTCAACTTCATCCGCCAGTTCCCTCAGGACTCGTGGATGTATCTCATCAGGTCCATGGACTCATGCACCTTCAGGTTCTTTAGATGGTCTGGAACCTGATCTTCTCCTACAGCTGGCGGTTCTTCCTTCTCCCCGTCCCTGCCTTTGCCTTCTGCAGCTTGGGCAGTGTGGCTTGAGCTCTTGCCAGTGAAGACTGAGGTAAAGTACTCGACCTCAGCCTTCTCTATATCCTGGGTCACCAGGTCTCCCGCTTTCTTCCGGAGGGGCCCACATTTTCCCTAGTCCTCCTTTTATAACTGACATACCTATAGAAGTTCTTCCTGTTACCCTTAACATCCTTGGCCAAATTTAATTCCATCAGGGCTTTAGCTTTCCTAACCTGATCTCTGGCTTCTCAGACAGTGTCTCTGTATTCCCCCCAGGCTACCTGTCCTTGCTTCCACCCTCTGTATGCTTCCTTTTTTTGTTTGAGTTTGCCCAGGAGTTCCTTGTTCATCCATGCAGGCCTCCTGGCATTTTTGCCTGCCTTCCTCTTTGTTGGGATGCATCACCCCTGAGCCTGGAGGAAGTGATCCTTGAATATTAGCCAGCTTTCTTGGGCCCCCTTCCCTCCAGGGTTTTATCCCATGGGACTCTTCCAAGCAGGTCCCTGAAGAGGCCAAAGCAAATAGAGCAACTTAAAGATTCGTGATTGCAAAATATTATGTAGTAATTGTTTGCTTGGATCAGAAACAGAAAGTTTGGGGCTTCTAGGTAGTTGACAGAGGTGGCTCCCTGTTTATCTTCTCTCCTCTGGTTGTTTATTTCCTGAAAGTTTACTGAAACATTTAGAAGGTAGCTGTTAAGTTGCTTTTTGACTAGAGCAGTAACCTCTGTCTTTGTACCTAAGACTTCAGCAATGTTGCACTCTAAACTGAATCCCGTTTCTAAAGCTTTTCATAAGAAGTTCTTTGATCTCTCAGTCCTTAAGATATCATCTGTCATCTCGTGTAAAGTCATACTCAGCAGATTACATTGATTCCTCTTCATTGGGCTCGTCTTTGTTCTCAGGACAGACATCTCCTACTCTGATTGGAATTTGTTCCAGCTGTAAGAGCTCTCCACTGACTATTCAGTACCTTGATGAGTGACTAATAGGATACTGTTTGTATCAAAGGATACATCTGACTCTTGAATGTTTAAATCAACTTGCAAAAAGCCCACTTGCACTCTGGTAGAAAGAAGTATGCTTTAGAGACCTTGTATTCTAGCTTAAGCACCAGAGACACTTATTTCTCTCTTGCAGAAGCAATTGTGTCTGTCTTCCCTCTGAGTGTGGAACTTGTCCTGTTAAGCAGTCACGGGCCCCAGACCCATTCTCAACAAACCCAGGCCTATAGTAGGAGCACAAAAGCATAGTTATTGATATTTCTAAAAATGCTGTGTTTCTGTGTCAGAGTGGACCTAATATGCATGTCCCACTTAATTTTGTTTTGCAAACTGATCAGAATTCATTTTTTACTCTGAACAATTTGGAAGATTTCTCTTGTTCAGCTGGGGTGAAAAAAGACAGGTTTGAGCACACATTTTTGACAGAAGCTTCTATTTCCCTTCCCATGCTTTACTGATGTTCTTGTGGCCACATAGATCTGGTCTTTGATCTTGATCATAGCGTTAAAAATAATATACTTTTAAAAACAGTTCCTCAAGTGACTGCACTGATAATTGTACCAGCCCAACAATCTGGTTTTCATCCTTTTTCTTTGAAAAGGATATGTAAATTAAAACAATACCATACTTGAAATCTGTTGTCTGGATGTGTTTCTTGTCTTAGTTTTTACTTTGTAAACCCTCTTTTCTCCTGTTTCAGCTACTTTTTTGCGCTTTCCTGAAGCTCAACAAGCTGCTTTGTTGCAAATATTCAAAGCTCTTAAACCCATCCCTTGGGCTGGTTTTCCTTTTTTCAGACCCAGGCTCTCAAGTTTGTCACATTCTACTTTAAATGTGCCAACTTAACATCCTGTGAATAGCCATTAATTCTTCAATGCTACATAATGACAAGACAGCATTTTGCAACACAGTGGTAAGAAGCGACTGAAATGATCTTTAAAATGGAGGAAAAAATTTAAGTGAATACAAAGAGTAGTTAGAGCTCTTATTTGTGCAGTTTAATAGGCAAAAAATGTTCTATATTTAACTATGGTGGCTTATATCTGTACCTATGGTAAACATTCATGAGGTTTTTTTCCACCAGCCAAGGATCTTACTGTGACTTGGTGGGAGGAGACATTCCCAAATGTCTGCTACTGACATGCAGTGATTTTTCCCTCCCTGCTTAATTCACAGTAAAATATCAGCCATCTAGTCCAAAGGTGACTTTAGTGTATGTGCTTATATGTATGTGTGTATATATATATATATATATTCTGCTCCCCCTGCCTCCCCCAGGATGCTTTGTTCAAAGGAACTGTCCTGCAGCAGTTTGAGTTGAATATGGCCCTTATTTAAAGAAAGGGCAAGAGCTACCCTGATGATGCATGACAAAGCAGGAACAGCATGACAATATTTAATGGGCTGCAACTCCCAGGACTGAGCTGAGATTTAAGCAATTATCTTTTAGTCTGCAGAATTTGTATTATGCTAGCTCTTTGCTCATTAATAACACAGGAGATCTTGGGGTTGGTAATATTGTAAAATAAGCAATTGTAAAATACCATCCCAGAAACTTCTGTGTGGGATTTCTGTGGATTGCTGTTTTCCCAAGAGGCTATGTTAGTGAGCAGTGCTCAGCCAGGAGCACAGAAAGGTGCTAAGGTCAGATGCATCTTTCAGCTTTACGCTGTCTGAAGCACCCGTTAAGTCAGAGTGAAGACTTAATGATTTGAGCCCCTTTCTGGGCTGGATTGGGTTATGGCCTCATGTGGAATTCCCTATAAAGCTTCCTAGATTCCTATTCTGCACAGGAACGTGTGGCTAACTAAGAGACAAGGCTTCAGAGATGCAGTGGGTTTTTGACCTCTTTAAATGTTTTATTGCTTGAGGACTAAGCTTGCTGGATTTCAGATACTGAGACAGGGCTTTGTTCTCAGTGACAAGCTTCCCCTTCATAACGAGCTTTTATTATGCCTTTTGAGAGCTGGAGCTACGTGAGGTGGGGAGAAGAGGATCAGCTGGAATAGCCATTATTCTCGCAAAGGGCAAAGCAAGCAGAATATTTCCCAAGAGTACCGGCAGAGGACTGTGTTTGTTAACAGCAGTTATACCTGTTCTGCGGTTTCAATCTTTCCTTCACTCATTACTGTTCTGCAGCTGCAAAGTTGTGCAGAGAAGATACAGAAGCCATGGCAGTGCTTGATGTTGTGTTTATAGCAAATCATATCTGTCTCAGTAGTGCTGAAAGAATAGGGGAGGAAATGGGTCTTGAAGCATTTCTAAGAACTATGAGGTGGCACCATATAGGATGAATAATTTATTTTTAAACAAAATTGGCAAACCAAGTAAAATTCGAATGAATTGGCTTTAATATGTTTTGTGGAACAGCACACTGAGGGAAAATGAGATGCATACTCAGATTTTGGAAGTGCAAGTCCCAGTTCCCAAGCAGGAAGCAAATAGCTTTTTCTGTAAAAGCATAACCACATCAAGCTCCAATGTTTAACACAGAATCTTCTGACGTGTCTTTTATGGCAAACGGGCAAGCCAAAAATACATTTTCTTGGTTATGTGACTGCAGTGATTAAAGCTGAAATTTCTGGGTCTTGTGGATGATATCAAAGTGCGTCTTGAAACAGTTTAACAAGGACTTTGGTTTATTTAACTGAACACCCTGCTCTCAACATCCCTTACTCCTCAGCTGCATGCAGCAGCTTGTAATTCCGTATCCATCTGTCTTGGATGCAATTCTTACTTGAAGCTCTGTGGGTTTTAGCTGAAATTACATATTAATAAGAAAGTGGGAGGGAAAGCTATGGAGCTAATGTGCCCAGTTAGTTAAGAATCAAGTCACATTTTATTTACTTAAACCCATCTGTGCTTGTTTTGCCAGTAATATATTTGGTCTGCGGCCTGTGGACTATGCGGAAAGTGAAAAGATGAAGTCTGTGCTAATGATACCAGTGAAGAATGAACCATTTTCAGTTAACCAGCCCTCTCAGGTGTGTGTGGTTTTTGTTTTGCTTTTTTAAAAACCTGTAAGTTCATCCTGTAAGTATTGAAGGCCTGGACCTAGGTACAGTACATCAGCTACCTTTACAGCGAGGCTGGGAAACTATCTTGGACAATATTTCTGTAATGTATGTGGGACACATGGAAGCTATGATATTCTGTCTTATAGCTTTATCTGGGAAAACAGAGGATGTTTCTTGTAGTGTGGCTTTATTATAGGAGAATGAATGCTGTGTGATTCTTAAGTGTAGTTGATTGATCTTTGCTATTGTTGTTTTTCTGAATATTTAAATTTGTTCTACTTGCAAAACTGGCTGAAAGCAGCAGCAGTCTTTGCTCCAGGTGCTTTTTGTGTGCCTTTAAAAGGCTGCTCCAGTATCACCCTTTGTCCAACAATGAAGATATCAGCTCAGCAGCTGAAAATAGCTTTTGGAAGATTGTTGTGGGGTTTTTGTTTTTCCCCTCTTTTTGCCAAAGACTTCTTAGGACTTGTGACTAAAATCAGGTTATTCAGACTTAACAGGTTACTGTATTATGAAATGCTTTGTGGTTCTTAATGCATGATGATTAGACTGATCTGGCTGATATAAACAAGCAGTCCTAGTCATAGCCTGTTACAATCCCTCCTCATTGAGGTAATAAGATATCTGTTGGCCAAAAGTAAACTGTTGCAGCTAAATCAGCACGGATATGACTGATCATCCCACCTGTAGCAAATGCAACATGCAGCTCTTCTGACGCAAAGAAAGCACTGTGTTTGCACTTGCTTTGGGATGAGTGTGTGCCAATGGATGGTTACCAGCCCATAGGGATGACTTGTTCCAAAGCCTGAGGCTTTAGGGTAACTGGATCCTGAAGGTATGTGTGAACTGTGGAACCTGGGAGTACCTAGGGAAGACCCAGGAGCTAAAGTATCACATCCTTGTCAGCGTAAACTTGAGCAAGCAGCTGCTCTTACTCTGTATTAGTCGTGTCCGCATAAAAAATCTTAAGCGTTAATTATTTACAGGGCAATGTATTAGACACTTTTTAGTAAAAGAAAATGGAGGTGTTAATTATATAGGTTACTCAACATATTGGTAGCGTATTTGTTGGTAGTACTTCACTAAAAGCAGGAGGCTTTACTACTAGTGGGAATTTTTTTTCTCCTTCAACACTGCAGTCAGAAAGGCTCTTTACACAATGTTCAACCAGCTAAATGTGTGTACACCAGTTTCTTTAAGAAAAAAAAAAAGGCAAGGAAGAAAAAAACTAGTGCACAAGCTGTTTTGATACCTTGCATAAGCTAAATGAAGTACCTCTAATGTTAAGCTTTTTTCCTTTAGAGCTAGTTTGTTACACAGTTTTATTTACGGACCCTGTCCACTAAACTAGCCATGAATTGTTTTTCTAAATGCTTATTCTTTATTAAATAAAGATGTCAAACAAGTTATTTGCTTTCTTTATGTTCCCAAACACTCAGTTTATTGTAGGATTTTCTGTTCATGCAGGCACTGAGTCCCAGCCAGCCAAGAGATGGACCTATTGGTATACTGGGGAGCAATCTTACTTCGCGGCAACAGAAATTGCTGAACAAACTAGCAACAGTTCTGAAGGCTCGAAGGTGTACTGAATTTAACAGCAGAGGTATGTAGTCTTGTTGAAATGTCTCTGTCCACATGTAAGTAACTACAGTTTCTGCACCTTATCCTTTAAGATACTAGCTGTAACAGGTTTTTTTTATTGTTCCTAATAAGTACAGTTTCTGAAATCCCTGAATTATAGCCATAGGAGAATGATGGTGTGTTGTTGCGTGTAAACGCATATAAAGCCTGCCTGGTTACTGAGGCAGGAGACTGCCAGGGGAGCCACAGTTTGACAGTATATTGTCTGTTATTTAAAATGCCTAAGTCCTCCTCAAAGGCCTCTTCTCTTTACAGTTCGTTAGGGAAAATTAACGTTAAGGTCTCTGCTCACAGATATCCTGTAAGGTTTTTGTCTTTCAGAAGTGAGTCTTGGGGAGATGGTGCCTTTAGAAGGAGCATGTCACTGACTAAAAGTTTACAGATTTCTTCTTGCACGCGACCTTTCTTCAAAATTTGTTCTTCATTAAGACAATGGAGCCACATTATAGGAATTGGGGGTTTTTTTGTTCCCTTTGGAGGGTGGGGGAACATTGTCTGAATCCCTTCTGTCAGTTTTTCTTTTGAGAGCTGCTTCTCCTGCTTGTGAAAGAAATGCTATGGTAATTTTCCCCTACCATCTTTCACACCCTGATTACTACTCCAGAATTGAGAGCTGAGTTCTGTTAGCTTTGTCTTAAAGCAGTGAGATCTCATAGTAAGATTCCTGTCAAAGTTAAATATGACTTTAAAAGGACTGAAAAAAAAAATACTAACCTATAAACTGGAGCGTCCTTTGAAAATCTAGGTGTTAGCTTAAAACTCTAAAAACATGACTTCCCTTTTTCACAGCAAGTATATTTTGAAACCCACAAAATTTCTAATAGCACTTCTACTTGCTTGTTTCTTGGTCTCAAAAAACACATTGTGCTGGGAAGAGTGGCTGATAAATTATTATAGTCTGTTTATTTGTTAAATGGTTACTGATTGCTTTTCAGCTAGGCATGGTTCTGATTTTTATGTGCTTTTAGTTCTACTGATGTCATCTTTCTCCTAGTAACTCATCTTGTTATCCCTGATGTTCCAATGCCAAGTACTGTCGAATGTATGATGGCTGTTCTGACTGGATGTTGGGTCCTCAAGTTTGACTGTAAGTATTAAATATATGGGATTCTTCAGGCTTCTTAACCAGAAACTGTAGATTGCGTTCCAGAGAAAATTGTCTTTTTCAACTACTGCCGTAATATCGATACTAGCTTAACATAAAGTGTGGGGGTTTTGTTTTTTAATCTCCTGGATGACCGGAGATTTAATTAAATACAACTACGCCTTCCTTGGCAAATATATGCATTTCATTAATAGATGTATTGGGTAGGTCATACCCTAAGCATCAGTGAGGAGTGAATTTATTCATTGCTACATTAAGAGCAGTTTGGAAGACTATGGAAAATATCCTGGGAAAAGAGGAAGGAATGTGTTAAACTCTTGGATTTCTTGTAAACTGCTTCCATTGAAATTGATAGGAAACTTTTGCTTGCTTTAGGCCTGTAGGAAGGCAAGGTGTTGCCTACTTACATATAAGCTGAGATCTGTTGAAAGTTATGACTTCTAACCAAAGTTATGCTGTCAACTGATCATAACCCCTGTTTGTACGTTCTGTTAAAAGTTCTCTATTTGTTCAAAAAGTTGCCAGGCTCTGTGCAGTCATAGGCTCAGGCAGATCAAATGTATACCTGACTTCCGATGCCATTTCTGTACCCGTGAACCCTGCGGACTGGAGTGCTCTTCAACTAAAACAGTAACCTCCAACAGGACTTGCATAGTGTCTCCTTAGCATGTAAGCAGTTGTTTTGATGTCATCTTTCATGTGACCTGTAATTAGTTTTTATACAATGCGTGTTTTGCTGTACAGCTGTTCTGTGGACTTACACCCCAAATTCAGGGTCTTATTAATTCTTTCTAATGTATTTCTTAGTATCTGCATTCGCAGTAGTTGTAAAAGCCATCTTCTTCCCCTTGACCTTTATGGCTAAGTCCTTTCAGCTAATAAGTACACTACAAATGAGTTAATTATCCATGGAAAACTCACAGACAAATTTCATTCCAGTTTTCTACTGTGTGACTAAACACCAGAATATAAGGAGTTCTTAATGGTCTAAATTTTCCAGTCACTAATGTTTATGAAGGCACTGCTTAAAGCTTCAAAAGCTGCATACTAGTTTTTCACATGAAGCTCATAATCAGACTCTTTTAGCATTGGACCCTTTTTTCAGAGTGTTCACTTGGCTTCCTGATAGTCAGTGGATTTGTTCTATGCTTTTTTTAAAAGGGTCTGTTGAATTCTGTCCTCTCAGAAATGTTTTCTGCAGCACCTACAGTGGCTTGTGTTTATGGCCTTAAAAGCATTTGCAAAAGGAAAATATTGTGTTGACTTTGTGGTGTGATTCTTACAAATAGGAGTAGCTTCTTGGTGAATATGTAACATGGAGAAATACTGTTTATGCTTAAGCAAGCAGATGGATGTATTAGCCTCCAGACACTTTGTTGATAAGAAGAAGGGAGATGGCTTCCTGTCTGGAAGTAGGGATGCAGCAGGAAACTTGGAAGGCCTAGAAGTGATGTTTGGGTTGTATAACTAGTAAGGGCATGTTCAGGTGCTCTGGAACAATATTGTGTTTAACTAAGACTGGATAATATGTTTCTGGGGTGAATCACTTTGCGGTTTCTTGGGTTCTCTCAGTTCAGGAGGTCTGCATACCTTCTCTCATGTGCTAGGGTGGTTTTCCTTTATTTAATTGTATCTTCTTGCTAGTCAGATGCTTAGAAAACTTAACTGAGAGGCAGGGAGATTTAATTAGTGACACTTGAATTTAAATCTTTGTGGAAGAACTTTTATATTTAGAAGTGATTGGAAAAGAAAAAAATAAATAAAATGGTGTAGAGGTTATTCAGGGAATTTTTTTTTTTTTGCAGCCAAGTTTTATGTTGTCAGTACTGATTAGTACAATCCTGACTGCTAATGCTCCCAGCTTAGTAAGCAACATACTACTTAAAAGCAAGTGATTCTCCTCCCTAGTGGGAAATGTTAGTAATAACTCATGGGGTCTGATGCAGCTAAGTGCCTATAATTAACAGCACCACTCCATCTGTTCCCACCAGTCTGTTATTAGTCTTCTTCAGAGTCATTACAAGTTAAAGATTGTTATAACAAATAATGGGACTCCTGCTGATGGAACATTTGTCTAGGAAAGAGAGGTCTTTGCTTTTCTTTTCCATAATTTCCTCTCTTTATTTATCATGGCTTTTTGACTTCTAGTTGGATAAGTTTCCTTAAATGTGATACAAACTTCCGAAAGTGTTTGCATATTCTGTCTTCCGTCAAAGCCTCTGCAAATAAATTGAAGTTGTTGCTTACAGTTCAGTGTTGTAAACCTTTCGTGTAAAGTAAATTCATGTTCAAAAACTTCACTGAAATATATGAAAAAACAAAGCTCAGTGTGGCACTTAATGAAATGCTGACTCTGCGTAAGTGAGTATTTGAATGTTTTTTACTACAAGGTAAGCTGTGTAAGTTATATGTATAGCCTACACATAATTATACCACTTTTTAAAAAATCCTTGCATGCTTGCAAAAAACAGCATTACATTTAAGAGTACGTTTCTTTTGTTAACTCTTTTGTTATAGCAGGCTTTCAAGCTGTATTTCTCTAATAAAAAGCAATTGCCGTTTTTGTATAAATCTATGGTGCTTCTGTTTACATGTGTCTACACACAGATACAGTATACATTTAGTATCAGGAGAGAGGTAATGTGGAATTTTCCAGCAGAGTTTGGGCTAAATGTAAGACCTCTAAGTATTAGAGAGCCAAGATTCAAAAACATATCTTCAGTTTTGGGGTTCCCTTTCATCCTCAGGTAGAAGATTAGGATGAAAGGATGTCACCACTGAGCAGTACTAGATCTTCACAGAAGAAAAATTTCACTTCACCTGTTGCAGTTCTATATTTTCCATATATAATACAATGTCAGCAATATATCCACTTCCACAGCAGCGCAGAATTCAGCTGAGACCCTGTTGTCACTGTGCTCCTTGCCCTTGGCCATATCTTTCATTAGTTTCATTATTTTATTGCCTTCATTATTTCTGGGACGGTAATAGGGAACAAAGTAGCATATCATTATCCTTCTGCAAGAAGGCTGAGACAAAGATTCAAATATCACTGTATTTCCTCTCTGCCTCTTGTAGAGCATGGAATAGTGTAATTAAAACCAGCAGAAGTCTTTAATAGCTTTTCAGCTTTGTTTTTCTTAAACTGATTGTCATCTGTTAAAGAAGGGAATGAAAGATGATCTCAGTAACGATATGCATTGAAACAAGCTTGCATCAGTCTTTGCAGTGAAGTGTCTGGCAGAATTCTAAGCATCTGATTGCTTATTCCTTCATTTGTTGTGCTTACCTGGAGCACCAGCAGTGATTTGGCTCTGATTGTTTAAAAGAATGCAAAAAACCCCCTGCTTTTCCTGTAAGGACTCGGAACGACTGGGAGTTGACTGGAAGAGCTAGGGGATTGCATGACTGACGTTTCAAGGCAAAAACATCTTTCTGAATTCCTTGGAGCAATATGCCCCTCCTTGTTTAGGCTATTAGACAAGGGGAATGCAAAGCTGCTGGAGCTGACTGTTTCTCAGGCTGGACTGTCTCTCTGCCGTGCGTGAACATCTTTTAGATAACAGGCTGCTACTCAACAAATCCCTCCCTCCTGAAAACAGCTCAAAACTTTTGATCACCAGTTTCACACTTGTTTTGCAGTTGGAGACTTACTTCAACTGCCTCATTCTACAAAAGGATTTTGCTAGAAATACCAAATGTGCATATGCATATTCTTCTTGTATTGGATATATGGCAGAGGGGAATGTTTCACATCACCACGGTCTAAACTTCCGTGCTCCTACAGTGTCTGCACCTCCTGGAAAGGAGGAGTGAAACAGTTTTGCTTCAGTGTTGGCATAAGTTCAGACTGAAGCTGCTGGAGTTTGCAGAGGAGAAACTGGGGGCAAGGATGTCTTCAGTGTGGTGTGTGCCTTTGTCTGCAGAACTGGGAAGTGGGCTGGTTTGAAATAAGGTCTAAACGAAAAGGAAACCATGTTTCCACTACTGCCTCTGTTTTCTGTCATCCAGATGTTCAGTTTTTTATATTTGGAGATTCTTTTGTTCTAATTAACTTTTAGTTTGAAGAAAACATTACATTAAGGAAGCCCATTGTAAGGAAGAGGATGGGGAATATTGCCTCATTATGTGCAAAGTGACAGGATCCAGAGTGAGAGGATGAGTGCTTTCAGGGGAATTTAACCTGACCTCTGCACCTTAGGAATGGCTACCTCCAGTCACTTTGGTCAGTCTGGAAAATAGCTGCAGCAAACAGTCATTTCTTAAGGAAGATAGGACACTTGGGGGTTTATGTGAAGTAATAGTTTTCATATTACATGCTTGTAGCTTCTGGGAATTGAGGACTCCCTTAGCATCTCTCCATCATGTTTGATATGTATCACCTAGATTAACTTGTTAACTCCCATTCTTAACTAGATTTGTTTTAGTCTCTGCAGCATTTTGTGGTGTTTCCATGTGTTGGAAAAAATGGACTGCTCTTGTTCCACCAAGTGAGATCTTGATGTCACTCCATGAAAATCTGTGATTCTGAATTTACTTTATAAGCATATCAGAGACAATATAAAAATTCTTTTCTGTGCTGTAGCTGAGACCAGTAATGTTGTCGATGAAAGCAATTTGAAGCTACCCAATGACAAATTCCCCCTAAGGCTTTCTCTCAGTCCAAGTTTCCTCCTTTTCTAGGAAATTAATCTCATCAAGTTTAACTCAATCTGCATGTAAGTCTTAAAACACAGCACAGAGTGAGCTGAGGAAACTTCAGTTGCAATCTCTACCAGATCGTAGATCTGTGTTATTTTATCTTTGTTGCTCTTGTGTATTTCTAAATTACTTTTAGCTGTTCTAAGAGATTTTTGGGACTAACCCCTGCTCTTTGCTTTATTAATGCAAATCCAACAAAACTCCACTAGGGCTAATTGAGTTACTGAGAGCTACCCGTGGGTATCTGTGGGTGATTACAACTTGTTCTTGGCAACCAGTTC